CTCCACCTGTCCTCACTCACCCACGCAGAGTAAAACATTCTCTGCCCTTTCCTTATCACACAATCTAGGTGCTATTTGGCATCGCATAATATATTTTTCTTTCAATTTTCAAAGAAGACAATTGGTTTGTTTGATGCATATTTTATTAGATATGAAACTTCATAAATCTGTGTAATTTTATCTTTCAAGTATGTGTCTAGTAATGTTGTTATATAAATCACTGGTCATGACTGCACCTGTTGGAACAATGTCAGCCGGAGCGACATAAAAAAAAAAAAGTAAGTAAAATACATAAATAATAAGAATTTAAAATAATAATAATAATAATAATAAAAAAAAGTGGTTTCTTTCAATTGAAAAAAAAAAGAGTGGTTTATTTTAAGTTCTAGTAGAAGAACATTCTATCAATTATAATGTTAATTCCCAGGGTACGCTGGAAGGAGGACCAGAAATAGCTCTGAAGCGGCTCTCAAAGAATTCTAGCCAAGGAATTGATGAGTTTAAGAATGAAGTTATATGTATTGCCAAACTTCGGCACCGAAATCTCGTGAAGCTTCTAGGATGCTGCATTGAAGGAGAAGAAAAGATGTTGATCTATAAATACATGCCCAACAAAAGTCTGGATTACTTTATTTTTGGTTTGGCTCTCTTGAAAACTATAATACTACATATATAGCACAACTATTCCGCTCTCAGACCAGCCAACAGTCTTTCTTTCTTTTTTCTATTCTTTTTGGTTCCATATAAATCTTTTGAATAATTTGATAATGAGTACAAAAAGGTTGTTATTACATGTGCATTTGCATGAACTTTGTCTTCTAGAAAAATTTGCGATCTTCCATTGAGGAATACTGTTAAAAATTCATGCATCCAATTACCAGGAGCAAGGACTAAATCAAACAAAATAATTTCCAGATTGAACCCGAAGCGCATTACTAGAGTGGCCGAAGTGCTTCCACATTATTAATGGGATTGCTCGGGGGCTTTTATATCTTCATCAAGATTCCATACTGAGAATTATTCATAGAGATCTCAAAGCTAGCAATATTTTGTTGGATATTGACATGAATCCAAAAACATTAGACTTCAGAGTGGCTAGAAGTTTTGGAGGAAATGAAACACAAGCAAATAGAGATCTCAAAGCTAGCAATATTTTGTTAGATATTGACATGAATCCAAAAACATTAGACTTCAGAGTGGCTAGAAGTTTTGGAGGAAATGAAACAGAAGCAAATACAAACAGAGTGGTTGGAACTCAGTAAGAATCTTCATAACATGTTTTGTTTAATCCACTTATATTGCTTCAAAATCTGGTTCTTCATTAAGTGCTTCTCTGTAGCGGTTATATGGCTCCAGAGTATGCAGTGGATGGGCTATTTTCAGTCAAATCAGATGTGTTCAGCTTTGGTGTTTTGGTGCTGGAGATTGTGAGTGGGAGGAGAAACAGAGGTTTCTATCATCCAGATCACCACCTCAACCTCCTTGGGCATGTAAGTGTACACAGTTTAAAACTATTCTTGTATGTGTATGTTTTCCAACAAGTACTGTTAATATTGTAGTGGATTGTTCAGGCATGGAGACTCTACAAAGAAGACAGGTTGTTGGAATTGATTAATGAGGCTCTATGGGACTCATGCTACCTAATTGAAGTGTTGCGATCAATCCATGTGGGTCTTTTATGTGTGCAGCAATGTCCAAAGGACAGGCCAAGCATGTCTTCTGTGGTTCTGATGTTGGGTAGCGAAGGTCCATTGCCTCAGGCCAAACAACCTGGCTTCTTCACTGAAAGGAATGTTCTTGAGGCTGGTTGTTCATCAAGCAAGGATGCAACAACTTCAGCCAATGAAATCACCATTACCATGTTAAATGCCCGATAGAAACACACATTGTGTTGATGCTAATTACATGCCCCAAAACCCGTGAAATAAAATGAAAACCATTTAGTTAGATTTTATATCTTCTGAAAGGTGGAAGCTATGGTTAGTCATTGTTTCTTGTTAATGTCGGGTTATAAACCTTCATTGGTTATTATCATAATTAATAAAATTTGTTTCTTTCTACAAGTTCTTAGCAATCCTTGTGAATTCAAGAGTTTCATCTGCTAAAACAATGCCTAGCCTTTTTCGCTATTACTACTATATCATTGAGGACTACTTTCATGCAAATCCTAACAAACAAGCAATGCAGTATGAAGCACCTAAGGAACAGAGCTTAACAGAGGTGTCAAATCTATGGTCCATGATTGTGTAGTATGAAGCACCAATGAAACAGACAAGTTAATTCCAATTATGGTTTAGTCCTAAGCTGGAAAAAGTGACTCTAGCTAACAAGCATTGCAAAAGCACTATTAGTGCAGAACCAATGAAACAGTTGATTCATAAATACTTGCCTTAGTGCGAAGAGAGTCATTCCTATAATCCTAACCTATTAAGCACTAGTACGGATACAAGTATTAGTATTGGTATAATATGGGTATGTCAATACAGTAGAATTTAAAAAAAGTAAGGTATGAGTACAACTATGTACGTTCATAAAAATATATTTATTTTTAATTTGAAATAATGTAAAATTTAATTAAATAGTTTAATTTTTTTAAATCTAACCTATAATTCATATTTTATATCAAAAGTAAGGTATAAATCAAAATTAAATATCATTATATTAAATAACTTACAAATCAAAACTTAATTAACTTCGCCTCTGAAACTTCATAAATCTGTGTAATTATGTCTTTTAAGCATGTGTCTGGTAATGTTGTTACATAAATCACTGGTCATGACTGCACCTGATCGAACAATGTCAGCCGAAGGACATGAAAAAAGCAAGGAATGAAAAAAAAAAAAAAAAGAGTGGCTTATTTTAAGTTCTCTAATGGAAGAACATTCTATCAATTATAATGGTCATTCCCAAGGTATGTTGGAAGAAGGACAAGAAATAGCTATGAAGTGGCTCTCAAAGAATACTAGCCAAGGAATTGATGAGTTTAAGAATGAAGTTATATGTATTGCCAAACTTCAGCACCGAAATCTTGTGAAGCTTCTAGGATACTGCATTGAAGGAGAAGAAAAGATGTTGATCTATGAATACATGCCCAACAAAAGTCTAGACTACTTTATTTTTGGTTTGAATCTCTCACACCAGCCAGCAGTCTTTCTTTCTTTTTTTATTCTTTTTGGTTCCATATAAATCTTTTGAATTATTTGATAATGAGGCCAACAAGGTTGTTATTACATGTGCACTTGCATGCACTTTGTCTTCTAGAAAAATTTGGGATTTTCCATTGAGGAATTCTGTTAAGAATTCATGCACCCAATTAATAGGAGCAAGAACTAAGCCCTGGTTTGGCATTCATTTTGGGGCTAAAAAATCACAAAAAGACAAAATTGACTATAAAAGCCAATAAGACAAAATACTACTTTTTATCTATAATCATTACATTTTTTCTCTCACAAAAGTCAAAAAAATCCAAAAATAAAAACCAAACGAGGCTAAAAAAGTCCCAACACAAAAAGTTGGCTACCGTAGCCAATGCCAAACGAAGCTTAAATCCGACAAAAAATTCTAGATTGAACCCAGAGCGCATAACTAGAGTGGCCGAAGTGCTTCCACATTATTAATGGGATTGCTCGAGGCCTTTTATATCTTCATCAAGATTCCATAGCTAGCAATATTTTGTCGGATATTGACATGAACCCAAAAATATCAGATTTCGAAGTGGCTAGAAGTTTTGGAGGAAATGAGACAAAAGCAAATACAAACAGAGTGTTTGGAACACAGTAAGAATCTCCATAACATGTTTGTCTATTCCACTTATATTGCTTCAAAATCTGGTTTTTCATTAAGTGTTTCTCTGTAGCGGCTACATAGCTCCGGAGTGTGCAATGGACGGGCTATTTTTAGTAAAATTGGATGTATTCAGCTTTGGTGTTTTGGTGCTACAGATTGTGAGCGGGAGGAGAAACAGAGGTTTCTATCATCCAAATCACCACATCAACCTCCTTGGGCATGTAAGTGTACGAAGTTTAAAGTTATTGTTGTATATGTATGTTTTCCAAGAAGTACTGTTAATATTGTAATAGATTGTTCAGGCATGGAGACTCTATAAAGAAGGCATGGAGACTCTAGAAAAAAAAATAGGTCGTTAGAATTGATTGATGAGGCTCTGTGGGACTCATGCTACTTAAATGAAGTGTTGCGATCAATCCATATGGATCTTTTATGTGTGCAACAATGTCCAGAGGATAGGCCAAGCATGTTATCTGTGGTTCTGATGTTGGGTAGTGAAGGTGCATTACCTTGGGCTAAACAGCCTGGCTTCTTCACTGAATGTTCTTGAGGCTTTGGCCAATGAAATCACCATTACTCTGTTAAATGTTCTTGAGGATCCTGGCTTCTTGAGGCTAGTTGTTCGTCAAGCAAGGACGCAACAGCTTTGGCCAATGAAATCACCATTACTCTGTTAAATGCTCAATAGAAACATGCATTTTGTTGATGTAAACTATATGCCCCGAAACTAGGGATGGCAATAGGGGTTAATGGGGTGGATATTAATTTCTCATCCCCATTCTCCTATAATAAATTTTCCCCATTCCCCATGGGTACCACCCTCTCCATTTCCTAATGGGTTTGGATTTTTCCCAACCCACTTTAATCCTCATTTTTATTTTTTATATTTAATGTTAACAACCACTTTTTTTTTTTTTTTTTTTTTAAGGTTCAGCAGACAAAGCTAAATATACCTTCAATCTTTCTTTCTTTTAATATATTCTAATTAACACCTTTTTTTTTTTGTTTTTTTTAAGTCACACAAAAGCTAAGCATATAACTTCAATTTTTTTCTTTCGTCTTCTTAATATATTTAGCATGTTAAACGTTTTTCTAAATTTTTTTTTTTTTTTTTTAAGGTTTTAACTCAAATACACTTCAAATCTTTTTCTTTTTTTAATATATTATAAGTTAACAACTTATTTTTTTTAAGGTTCACAAACAAACAAAATATACATTCAATTCTTATTTTATTTATTATGGTTCAAAACAACAAAATCAAATGCACATATAATTAATTAATTAAAAAGTTTATTTATGATAAATCAAATATATATGAGGATTTTGAGACAATCCAAATAAGTTTTATAATTAAAAAAAAAATGTGGAAGAACGTGAAGGATTAAAAAAAAATTACAACCATCTCCTCTCTCTCTCTACACTCTCACTTTCTCCTCCTACATGTTTATAAGAACCTTGTTTACAATGTTATAGAAAGGCTGTTTTGAAGAAATAACAATGTGAAAGAACTGTTTTGATAGAAAGTGTTTACAAGACCCATATTAAAAATTTGCATCAGTCGGCATAACATCAAGGAATTGTTTCGTTGATCGTTTCTTTAGCCACGGACCATTTTAGACATTTTAAAAAAAA